CAGCCTGGTCTACAGAGCGAGATCCAGGAAAAGCACCAAAACTACACAGAGAAACCCTGTCTCAAAAAACAAAAAAAAAAAAAAAAAAAAAAAAAGAAAAGAAAAGAAAAAGAAAGAAAGAAAAATAGGTTGCTTTGGTTATGGAAGATGAAAAGAATTCTAAAAGTGACTGCTTAACTCCACTGAACTGTCTTTAAACTGATTAAAACAGTGACTTTGCATTACACGTAACTTATCACAATAGAAAACAGAATATATAGCTAAGAACTCTAAGCCAGCATGCCACAGATACACATTCATATCCGTGTCCACTGTTACGCTAGTCACAGTAGCCAAGGAACAGAACTAGCTCATCAACAGAAATCATATAAGGAAAGTGGGGTCCAAGAGTACAACCAAGTTTAGTGCAGCCATAAAGAAAACGGAAATCACGACACCTGCAGGGAAATGGACAGAAGCAGACATCACCGCGTTGAGTGAAATGAGCTAGCCTCCAACACAAAGACCCTGCGCTGTCTCTGGTGTAGGGAACCTAGTTATAAAAGTATGCAAACATGTACGTGTGTGCTTAGATATGTGTGTATGCAGGTTATAAAACTAGACAGGGGATCATGAGAAGGGAGCAGAGACATTAATAGGGAGGGGACAATGGAATACATGGGATAAGAAGGCAGGAAGAGAGGGGCCAGGGACACTTGAATGGAGTGGGGAAGCAAATGAGAACAAAGCATAATGACACAACATATGAACCCATTATTGTGGATGCCAAACTAGAAAGTTAATAGGAAAAAAACAGATGGCTGTCAATACGGGAATTAGGAAAGGAATCCCAGAGCACACTCAGCTGACTGGCTTGGCTTTAGCTTATCTGTGGCCACGACACTAACAATCTACTAATACCAAACTAGCCATGGGGAATAAAGATTTAAAATTTCAGGGATACTGCCTATGTGTTGGCATTAATCTAGGTACTTTAGGTGAATCATATATATTTTTTAAGATTTATTTTATATTTAATTCTCTGTGTGTGTGTGTGTTGTGTGTGTGTGTGTGTGCGTTCAGCATATGAGTACAGGTGCCTGCAGAGGCCAGAAGAGGGCATCTGATTCTCTGGAGCTGGAGTCACAGGTGGTTCTGAGCCATCCAACATGGGTGCTGGGAAACAAACTCAGGCAGGAGCAGTATGCACTCTTCACCACTGAGCCATCTCTCTGGCCCCAAGAAGTCAATCAAAAGGAAAATAAGAAAGGCTACACAAAATCTTTCTTTTTCAGATGTGCAGTTAAGAAAAGCTGAGCCCTCTGCTCTCTGTAGGTCCGACTATTAACATGTAGGACTCTAGTTTCAGATACTTGCCCCAAGTGTGACAGAACCTCCATGGTGTCCTTTAAGGCATGTCCAACCCATGGCTTGTGGACAGCATGTGCCGCAGGACAGCTACGAACTTAGGCTCAATGCGAAGTGGGAAACTCACCTAAAACATGATTCTTCTAGGATTCATTTTGTAACTCTACATGGTCCATGAGAATGAACTCTGCAGATGCCAATGTCATGTCACAATGTTAAAAGGTCTGGTATATAGTAAACGCATCTCTCCTGGAGATGGGCATAAACTATAAAGTCTGATCTGGTCCCTAACTTACTCTCCAGTCTCTCTCTCACCCTTTCCAAAGTCCATCCACACAATTACAATGTGGCGAATCTACAGCCAACATTACAGAGCCCAGATCCTGCTCCTCTTGGCACCAGGGTTGGACAGATGAGGGCGGTTCATGCCCACTCACCTTGTCTAAGCAGGTCTTGCATCTTTGCACATGAGCAGTCATTGTAGACAACCACGTCAAAACCCAGGCTTCGGAAGCACTTGAAGAGGGCCTCCGCATCTTTGTCTGTCCCATTCCGGACGTCCATACCTGTGGGGGTAAAGCAAGGAGGGGGGCGAGCAATGTCGAGGGCAGGCTCTGGTCAGAGCAGGGGCTGAGCTGCACTCCAGCACCGGTGCCTGGAGCAGAAAACACCTTCCAGCGTTACAGCTTAAATGCACAAGGGAGACTAGAGGCATACTCAGAGGAGAGACTCAACCTCCACACAAGATAAACTTCCTCATGGTAACCCAAAACCATACGGGTCTTGTGACGGCTAGTACTGGCTGCTAATGTCACATGATCTAGAATCACCCAATTGAACAGGCCATTTTATCAGAGCCATAAGAAAAGGAACTAAGAAAGGCTCCTCGATTCTTAGTCTCTAAGCTACAGCACATGGCTATGGTGATATTTCATTTGTATTAAAATGTTATTTGTATGTTAATAAATAAAGTTGCCCGGGGGTCAGAGCTATTAGCAAGCCATAGGAAAGCAGGGCAGTGGTGGCGTATGCTTGTAATCCCAGCACTTGGTAGGCAGAGCTAGGTAAGTCTCTGTGTGTTCAGGGATACAGCCAGTATTGAATACACATGCCTTCTCATTGGTTGTAAACCCAACCACATGACCGCCTCGTCACGACCTGTCTGTATAGACCTCCAGGTTTTCTATGGTTGGTATTGAGATTAAAGGCAGAAGGAGTCACTGCCAGCGGCACCGCCAGGACAAGCCGCATGTAAAGATGCCAGTAAGCCATGAGCCACATGGCAAGGTATAGATTTATGGAAATGGATTAATTTAAGCTATAAGAACAGTTAGTAAGATGCCTGCCACGGCCATACAGTTTGTAAGCAATGTAAGTCTCTGTGTTTACTTGGTTGGGTCTGAGCGGCTGTGGGACTGGTGGGTGACAAAGATTTGTCCTGACTGTGGGCAAGGCAGGAACACAGAAAATCCTCTGCACCTCTCCTGGACATGGAATACCACTGGCAGAGGGCTTAGCCACTCTCTGATTAATGTCTGGTGTAACGTAGAGAATGTAGGAGCATCAGGAGAGGCTGGCCCAGCCCCAGCACCCACCTGTCACTTTGTCAAAGTTCTTGTTGTTTATGATGATACATTTTCCCATCTTCTCGAAATCCATGTTATACAGGTATGTGGGCACTCGGTCCCGGGTGGTCTTGACTGGGCGTGTAGAGGCATTTCTCTTCTTTTTCCTTGGGTTACAAAAAGTCAGTCAGAGGCTGCGGAAGCAGTCTGGGCAGCTGTGTGCTCAGGGAAGCCATGGAATTTGTGAACAGAACACCCACAGTGGACAGACAGCTCTGTTTAACTGTCTTGTTTAAATGGAATAAGACTCCAGGATAAATTTCAATGGATGTCAGAAAATGCATATCATAGCCACAATGTGCCTCCCAGAGTGGCCACAGTGTGAAAAATGGATGGTCATTTTTGGATCTGCCATGAATTTGCGTGGCTGGTGGGGACCTATCAGGGTGTCCACGGTGTACCAAACGTACACAAACCTCACAGCAGAACAACTGCCCGGAGTCAGGCAAAGGTTTACTGAAAGACAGGGCCGCACTCTCCATCGTGCCCCAGAAAGGAACTATCCCACAGTTCTGTTTACAGTAAGTGGCTGAACTGAGGAATATTCATGTAGCAGAGTAAAAGAGAGACTGAATGAACCAAGACAGCATGAAGCACCTGAACGGAAATCATAAATGGAACAGAGCACAGAGCCAATACACAGAGGACTGCACACAGACTTCAGCGCCTCATTCTAAGTCCAGCGAGTTTCTGACACCAGAGGACCATAAAGACTAACCGATTTTCAAATAAAGAAACTGGGATGCCAACCTGATGTGTGCACGTGTGCTCACCTGTGTGTGCCCGCAGATGCCACCAATGTCAGGTGTCTTCCCTCTATTGCTTTCCTCCTTGGTTTTTTTGTTTGGTTTTTCGAGATGGAGTCTCTCCATGAATGTGGAGCTCACCGTTTCAGCTAGACTGGCTGGCTAGTGAGCTGCCTGGTCCACCTGTCTCAACCCTGACTGGTGCTTGGGTTACAGATGCGTGCTGCCATGTCTAAGTTTTATGTGGATGCAGGGGACCAGAACCCAGGTCCGCAAGCATAGCAAGCTCTTTACCCACTGAGCCATCTCTTATACCCCCAAGTTTTCTTTCTTTCCCTATGTATTGGTGGTGGTTATAGACATATGTCAACAAAAATTTACATGTGTAGACATCTTTTTGTGTGGATGAATATTTTAATGGCATTTATGTTAATGGGGGGGGAGAAACAGCAATTAAAAAAAACTGTTTTTAAAAAAATTGTTCTGCCCCTACCCCAACTATGGTTCTATTGGGCAAGAACCATACAGGTACTGTGGTAACAGCATGGATATCATGGGGAGGGCAGAGGACCCAATGGGACCCGAGAGGAGGAAGAGGACCCAATGGGACCCAAGAGGAGGAAGAGGAGGACCCAATGGGACCCGAGAGGAGGAAGAGGAGGACCCAAGGGACCCGAGAGGAGGAAGAAGAGGACCCAATGGGACCTGAGAGGAAGAAGAGGACCCATTGGGACCTGAGAGAAAAAGAGGACCCAATGGGACCTGAGAGGAAGAAGAGGACCCATTGGGACCTGAGAGAAAAAGAGGACCCACTGGGACTCAAGAGATGGGCCTTGCTGGTCTCCTCTCCAACATGAGCTTCAGGGGACAAGAGTTTCATCTGGCCGGGCGGTGGTGGCACACGGCTTTAATCCCAGCACTCGGGAGGCAGAGCCAGGCGGATCTCTGTGAGTTTGAGGCCAGCCTGGGCTACCAAGTGAGTTCCAGGAAAGGGGCAAAGCTACACAGAGAAACCCTGTCTCAAAAAACCAGAAAAAAAAAAAAAAAGAGTTTCATCTGATCTGAAAACCACTGAATCCCCCACACCTATAATGGTGACTGCCAGGTAATGTGCTGAGTAAATACTTCTTATACAGCTCTCCCCAAAATCAGCAGAGACAAAGGATCGGTGAAAACCCAGCTGGTACTTGATAATGTGAATAATGTGATTTCAAGGTCAGTGTCCTGGAGTGTTCCTGGACTCTCTGCCATGGCAGTTTCTCAGCATCTCCGTGTTCTCTCTCTCTTCCCCACTCCTCCTGTGGTCCAGACTGCAGCTGAGTTCAGTATCTCTAACTGCTGATTCTTTCCTGCTCCTGCGCTTGAGTGCGTCTCCATCCTCCACTTTTTACAAGGTCATGTTTCTTCCATGGTACTATTTCATTTTAGAGACCGTCACCCAGAAGCTGATCTCTGCTTCCTCTTTTGTCTATCCATGCCTGTTCTGCCTCATTTTCCTGTCATTAGACAACAGGGCTATGGAACACTGGGTTTGGGGTAGGTAGAGCTCTGGTCTCTCTGCTCGTGGCCAGAGTGCCAACTTCCTTTCCTATTAAATGGAGCTATGTCACATCTAGTAGGTACAGCCCATTTGCTTAGTCAGGGCTCTCTAGAGGAATGGAACTGATATAAAGAATATGTGTTAAAGGAGGCTTTATTAGATGGCTGACATGAGGCAGCTGGAGGAGTCCAACAATGACTGTGTCAAACCACTGATGTAGAGAACTTAGTTGTCACTCAGTGCACGAGCTGCTGCTGCAGACCTGGGTATTGCTTGAAAGTACCCAGTCTGCTACTCCCCAGTCCACACTGGGAGCCTGAAAGCACTGGTTCCAATACCCGCAAAGAAATCGTCATCAGAAACGGGCAAAGGAACTCCTCAGTGAGAGAGAAGGATGAAGGGGCAATGGTCAGCAACTTTACTTCTGCATCCTTTCTACATCGGGGCCACACGCTGCTGCAGCTCAGATGGGATGGGGATTGCCACTTCCCTCACGGCAATCACAACAGCTCCTCACAGAGGTCCGATGTCCAGTGATACTCGGTGGCCACACCGAGTTTAAAACCACTCACCCACCACTGTGGAAGTGAGACAAGGCGGCTTGAGTCTACCCACGGAGTGTTTCTGGGTGTAAGCCAAGTTAGGTTCTTTATGTTCAAGGACATGCCCCAGCCAGGAGTAGAATTCATTTTCTCACTGCCACCTTCTCAGCGGTCCTACAGATGGTGTTCTCTGTGTGCATTAAAGTACAGACGCACAGCCCCTACCAGGAACATTCTGGTGTTCAGGAGATGTGTGGGAGGTGGGCAGGGGGTACAACGCCATTTTATAGGTATCAATAACAACAATTGACGGTTGTCAGTGCCCATGGAGCGCGCTAAAGCTCCCAGCTGCACTTCCTCACTGACTCTTAATTCAACATAGAGGTGGGTGGATACTACCATGATCCCATTTAAAGGCAGGTGACGGAGGCTCGAGTGTTTACCTGGCCGTCTTGGGGAAGAGTGAGCACACAGGGGCCATGTCCAAGCGTGTGGCCATGTCATAGCGTGCACTCCCTGGACAATGGTGCCCCTTAGGTGGAAAGAAGCACAGACAGGCTTCTAGATAAAGCAACTGTGGCGAGTTACCAGTTCTCAGAGAGGTCATCCATGGTTCTAGCCCCAAGAATGCCAAAGTGGTGTGCAGGTGACCCTCAGACAGAGTCCACTAATTCCAGCTCCCAGGCCCCACAGCTGGATCAAGCTGGCTTGGGGAAAATGGAGGTGTGGAGGTTTGATTTTCTTGGTGGTAAACGCAGCCCTTCTTATCACTTAGGATTGTGAAAGTACTTTGAAACCTACCAAGTTCAAAACAGACACAACCTTCTTCTTGTTAGCACCTGCCACCTATGGGCCAGGAGCGTCATAGATCAGTGCACATTCCCAAGGCCAAGTGCAAGTTCAAGTTCAGATCCGAAACAGCCTCCTGGTGTGTGCTTTTTCCACACAGTGACCTCTCTGAGCAAACACTGCCTTTGATGTTGAAATCCAGCACAGGACTCACTCATCTCTCAACCTACTTCTGGGGAAGCTGGTGCATAATCCCTGACCTTTCTTAAACCAGGTCTCCTAACTCAGTTAACCTCTCAACAAAGGCAGCTCTGGGACTGGCTTTATCTAGCATTTTCTGTGACTCCTTGGAAAAGACCAGAATGGGAAGAGAATAAGAGGAAGCTCAAGGCAGAGTAGAAACCTCATCATCTCAAGCTCACTTTAGAGCACAATTCCTGCACCTTATCGCTGCCTGAAGGCCATCCAAGGGCTGTGACAGGAGCAGGATGCCCACAGGCTAGAGAACACCCTTCATTCAGGACAACCCTTGAATCGGCACAGTTCTATTTCTGTCTTCTGTGGTGAGAATTCCTATGTTGGGGGCTAATGAGGTGATTCAGCAGATGAAAGGTGACCTGAGCTGGATCCCTGGACTCCACACAGTGGGAAGGAAAAACTGACTCTAGCAATCTGTCCTCTGATCTACACACGTAGGCCATGGCATGTGCATGCATATGTACATGTGTGCATGCATGCACGGGTCGTTCCCCCCCCCACAATACATTAAATGTAATGTAAAATCCCCAACAATTTCTAGGATGGCAGCCATGTCCTGAACACACTGTGGCTCTTACATTCTAGTTGTCATTAGTTCATCCCCATTATGAGCAAAACAAAACCAGGAAGCATCTTTTTATAAGAAAAAAAGGGTAGGAGAGAAGGGGAAATCAAGGCCTCTGCTTCCGTAAGAATAGAACCTGGAATGGTACCTCTCATTATTTAAAAAGTAGTTATGAATTTATTTGATTAAAAAAAGGGAACAAGACTGGGGAATAAAGACACACATACCATAAAGACAATGAAGCACTGTCACAAAAACTACCTAAAAATTGAATTGCAAATAATGTATAGTTTTTATCCCTGGTAAATATCCCAGAAGGGGGGCAGGGACAATTTCCTTCCCCAAACCTGCCCCTAAATTGAACTCCTCAAAAATTTTAAAAATCATAATTATTAATGTGTGTGTGTGTATGTGCGCGCGCGTGCACACACACACACACACATACGCACATGCCATGGCATACCTGTGGAGGTCAGTTTGTAGGAACTGGTTCTTTCCCTCTGTGTTTCTCAGGAATTGAACTCAGGTCATCACGTTTAGTGGTGAAAAACTTCACCCACTCCACGAATGAGCAGGACAGTAACCTGCCATCTAACAGCTCCGCAGTTTGGGGACCCTTTTCTCTGGAGTTCTCTCCCTTTCACACCGTTATCCTTTAGAACTGTGG